CACCACCACAGCCACCACCTCCACCACCGCCGCCACCTCCACTGCCTTCCACCACCACCATAGTCCCACCACTATTTCCTTCCACCACAACCACCACACTACTGCCACCGCCTTCCACCAACACCATTGCCACCTTTCACCACCACTTTCCAACATTGTCACTATCGCCGCATTCCAACACCACCACCTATACCACTATCTCTTTATACCACTCACCACCGCCACTCCCACTATTTATTTTAAAAAAATTATTAGAGAATGTCGTTTTGATAATTTAATTGATTTGTTACTAAGGGGAATATTTTGGAGAATTCAATTAGAAATTTATTCCATCCTAAATTTTAAATTAGTCCAACTAAATATTAGAATGGTTATTATCATTCCATTTCTGCACATTTCATATTTACAACCAAATAACCCATTCTCATTCCATCCCCACTTACATTCTATTCCATTCATGCATACCAAATGTAGCAAGTTTCCAACTCTTCAATTTAGATTACTTCCTGGGTATGGCATGTTCACCCGTGGTTTTTGTTCGATTTCCTAGAACTATGAATCCAGAACAACCTTCATTATCATAAGTGTTCGTCGTCTTAGATATTTATAGAAGAAGAAATTTCTCATCAATCTCAAGGATATGAAACCTAATCATTACAAATTACTAAATACCAAAAATTAGAATAATTTTAGCACTTGTTTGGACCACGAACAACAATTACAAAATATCTTATAGACTTTCTATAGTACTATAGAAAAATGAAATTCCTGGCCTGAACGATTAAGTTTAACCGAATAATAGCTTAAATCATAAGCAATACTGGTAAGTATTCATCTGTAGTCCATTTTCGATCAAGAATCAATCTTTTCGACTCAAAATAGACTCATCAAAAGTATATTGAAAATGTGTGAGTCAACTTGTTTGGCATTTTCACAATCCAAACGGCATCCATAATCTCAACAATCCATTCTACATCAATATGTTTTTTAGAATGAAAATTTTGATCTACATAATAGAATTTATTGGTTGCAATATAATAAATTTATGTCACATAAAGTACACATAATGTGAGTCGCGCTTCACTAAAATGGTTGTAGAATAATAGTTTGAAAAATACGCAGAGGGTGTGAATGGGTTCAATTCGCATTTTGATAAATGCAAAAACTTGTTATTTGTACTCATAAATAAATATTTAATTAATCTTTTATACTAGTAAAATGTTTTTATCTTTACTTTTCATATTTTATAGGGCCTAATTTCGGAAAGAGAAGAAAAGAAATAAAAATGAGAAAATGTTAAAATTTATGGCTACAAAAAACATGAAAAAGAGGTTTTAGTGTGGAAACCCAAACGGGAGAAAACCACGAAGACTTTTTGCAGTTTCGAGTGAAACGATCCACTATTTCGAAGCAAAGTACAACAGATCGACTCTGACTCATACCATTTCCACTCTATTAAGGACTAGTTGTTGAACGCCTTTGACTTTGCAACTCCTCAATTTCAGGCTTATTCATCACTCCTTATAGATATGTGGCTAATAAAACATAAACACTCGTTGAATGCTCTGTTCCCTTGGTAACACGATCGAAACCTCCTTTCAATGATTTATAGATCAAAGAAGAAAAACCATGCTTTTGAATGGAATCAACTGGATATTCGATAATCTTGAACTCTGATCAAATAAAAAACATCATCCTAAAAGTCACTCGTGTGTATGGAATGTGCTCTTAAAAATATATAGAGTAATCAAATTTGTGATGATATGACCCAAATTTGGATGAGCTTTGCTTATGGGTTGTGGACCCTAATTAGTACTCTTTTGTAACCCGACATGAGCGTTTAGAATTTGGAGTGGAAGATAGAAAGACATTGAAAGTCACAAAGAAAGAGAGTGAGAGGTTGAAATTTGTAATCTCCTATTTTTCGTACAGTGAAAATTTTTGTCGAATCTCTATCATGGATGTAAGTTTTGCCAAACCACGCTAAATTTGTGTATTTGTGTGTGGTGTGATTACTTTTTTGTCGTGTTTCTTGATTTGTTCTTGGATTCGCTACGTTTAACGTAACAAAAATTATTTTTTGAAAAGTACTCTCAAAAGGGCTCTCTCAAATTGCAAAAGTTTTAATAAAGGGAGTTTTTATAGATGTTAGAAAGTCCTTTATTAGCTTCAAAACAAGTAAAATATGTACCAAAACATCTCTCTAAAATATAACCAAGGAGAAAGTTTAAATTGACTAAAACAGAAAAAAAATTCCTTTTCAGCATCGGACAAGTGCAACAGGTTGAACTTTGGCATATTGCAATTCTCTTCAACAATTCAATATTGCTTAAGTGCAACCAGTTGTACTTGAAGTAGAACTGATTGCACTTGACTGTTTGCAAAATTTTTTGATTTTAAATCTTGAAAACTCTGTTGCAATCTTGTCCAACTCAATCTAAACATGTGCACAGTTTCCTCACTCAACATGCATTGTCTAAATAATATTCTCTTCGTGTCGGAGTATGTTAGCACATTGATTTTATTTTTTGATTCACTTCCGACCTTGGGACTTAAAAATTAAACTGAATATTATAACTCGGTCGAACACGTTTTAGACACAAAATTTATCAATTACAATATTATATCTCACACATGATATATGATAGAAGCTTTGGCTTGAAGGGTTATCCTTGGGTGGGTAAAGGTTGAACTTCATTGAAAATATATGTTCAAGTATATTTACTTATTGAATGTTCAAGTATATTTACTTATCGAAAAAAAAAAAAAAAAAAAAGTCTACTTTTTTTAATGCATTTTCTAGCAGAAATAAAATGATAAGAAGACATAAGAAATTAGAAAAAAAATTCCTTCAAGTCGTACAATCAAGTTTTGTTTACTCATTTTAAAATTGACCATCCATTTTTCAAATTTTATGTTAGGATTGGAAATCTTATATTTTGCATATCTATATAATTGAGGGCCGTGTATTGATGCAATTAAACAAAATTAATTATCGTAGTCGTGATTTTTTTTTACCATGCACTTTAGTCTTGATATGCATGAGCACTCTACTTTTTACAAAGTAATTCAATAAAAATGAATTCTCGATGAATTTTATTGAATTTTTTAAGAGCATTTAATAGAAGTGATGCCTTATTTATGAATTTTAAGTTGCTATCATTATTTGAAAGGCTTAGTAATTATATTTTTTTATCAAATTTATTGAGTAATAATAAATTTAAATATGAAATAAAAGGAAAATCATACCATATATAACTGGTGAAAACTAAATTTGTTGATATATAATTACATCGTAGTTATAAGGATGGTTGTGATCGTTCACATATAGGGATGACAAAATATCTCGTTCCGTCCGGTACTCGTCATGTTTAGAACGATTATGATAGTGGTTAAATGATTTTGGGAACATAAATGGATATTTGGATTGAAAACCCGCATGGTTATGAGACGGGGATAGGGAAAGGTTTTCCCGCCCCATCTTGCCCATTAATAGTGATAAGTTATAATTTTACCCTTATATTTTATTTTGTATTCAATAATATTACATATATATTAACCAAATCCTAACTTATTCTGTTTGAATCACTAAATATTTTTTTATATATTTTTATTTTAGAATTTTTATGTATTATTTTAAAATGAGAATAGGAATAGATATTTTAAACCTGACAATCCCGTCCCAAGCTGCCCATTGCCATCCTACTCACATAGCTTACATCAATTACACTTCCTCTCTCTTAAAAAGAGCAAAGAAACAAAATCAGAAACTCTAAAAAAAAATTGTCAGTTGACAAAAGCTAAGGGGTCCTATACCTGTGATGGTCATGGCCCACCCAGCCATGAGCATCCTACAAAGTAATTCAATAAAAATGAATTCTTAGTGAAATTTATTGAATTTTTTAAAAGCATTTAATAAAAGTGATTACTTATTTATGTACGTGAAAGGCTTAGTAATTAATTTTTAATTAAATTTATTGATATCCTCTATAGTTAGAGTACCGTTATAAGGATGATTGTGATTCATCACATCAATCACACTTACTCTCTCATACAAAATCAGGAACTTTAAAGAAATTCTAAAGTTGGTGACAAAAGCTAGTGGGTCCTACCTATACCTGTGATGGTGGAAGACATTTTTCCCTAAAAACCGATAAGAAGAAAACAAATTATCCCCGTGAAACAGGTTGTGAGAAAGGTTTTGATGTGGAAGGCCAACAGCCTCTAATTTTTGTATGCAGACGTGTTAACACAATGTGAAGGTTTGGTGTCAACATCAATGTTTATGATGATTGAATGCACCACATTTATATTTCTTCTTTTCTTTTGTGCAAACACATTCTACATCTTTCCCATGTATCAAAATGGTGCCCTCTAAGTTGCCCATGTATCACAGCATTGCGAATATATTAAAATAGTGACGACAAAGTGCCCTAATTCTGATATTAATTATAACGGATAAACGTTTATTTATTTACGTAAAAATTTAAATTATTTATACTTAATTATTTTTTTATCTGATTTTAATATGAAACAAATAACCTTTATTACCCGATTTAAAAATAGTCAGCCTTTTATTGACATGATATATGCCAAATGTCTCTGTAGTATACTCTTTTTCTTCCAACATTTACGTCTGTGCAATTAAGAATTTTTCAAAAAAACTTTTGTTGAGTCTAATCCCGCTGGGACCACACAAAAGAGACTATTTGCGACTTTTGTGTGAAACTTGAAATTGAATTAAATGGGGCCAAAAACAAGACCATCATGTTTAGCTCTTCAGTCAATACAAGTGGGAGATGAAAACGATATGTTTTTTCCCCCAAATTAAAATTACAAAAATCTAAAAAAAATCTAAGATGCATGACTTTGTCGTGCTCTTTAGCATCCAATGGATCGTCGGCAAGTTGAAATTAATAGCACCAGAGGGCATTTGCGTACTTTCCACTCATCCTCTTTAATAGACAGACATTTTCATTCATTGTGACAAGTACCAGGAGTAGAATCAAACCAAACTATTTCTTCATATTTTTCAATCCAATAAACAGAAGAGTTGTTGACCCAAACTCCAAATTATCAAAACAAAATCACCAAAAACCAATTTACAAGCTTCGTTACAACACAAGATATGTACAGATTTTTTTTTTCTTTTCTTCTCTTTTTTTCCTTTCCTTTTTCTTCTTTGGAATTTTGATTTTCTGATTGTATGATTACATTGGGGATGTGGGCTCCACTTAAACTGACACTTCTGACGCCCTTGCGGCCGGGTTACCGGATCTTGGTTGCCGTAGAAGCTCAATCAATGCCTCCGACTGTCCACATATCACAACAACACACCATTAACCCAAATACTACTGAAAAAATTTAAAAAAAAAAAAAAAAAGTGTTCCAAAAATTACTTATCTTATAAAATATAGACATTGAAAAAAATTCATAATAATTATTATTATTGATAAAAGAAATATATTAAACGTGCACTTCCACCACCACATCCGGCGAGAGATTCGGATTAACCAGAATAGCAGTAGTACATTATTTAGTCAGCCTACTTTGTCACTGAAAAATCATCAATTTTAACAGAGAGCAAAACACGGCGCCGTTTGATGAATTGAAAGTGAGGGCCCAAATGATCTTTGATGGGATTCGAATCTTCTCAGGATACCACCATCATGTTCTTATTTAATGCCACAAATTGTGAGCTTTAGGTATACCTACTATTTTAATGGATGAAAAACAATCATTTTAAAATTAAGTAGGGTCATTTATTCATATTACTCTTTTAGAATCTTTAATTAAAATAATCAACCTTTTTTTAAAAAATATTCACTAAAAAACAAAAGGCCACGTACATGGGTTTACCAAAATTACATGAAAAAGACATTCTTTACTCTTGAACCCCTGGATCAGAGGATGACTTAAATTGCCAACACCATAATTAAAGCAACTAATGATGTTTAACTACATCTCTAGAAGAACTCAACTAATTAACTGCCAATTTATGGTTGTTATTTTTCAAAGTTTAAAAAGTTCCATTCACTTTTAATATTTAAAGAACAATTACTGCAATCTATAAGTTAAAGACTTAAAATTCTAGTGAAAGAATTTTCATATCCCTAAGTGATAAACACAGTTGCACTTAAAACATATTTAAAGCCTTTCAACTCGTGTTTTAGGTCTAAATTATCAAAACATTATATTGAACAAAACCGTTTTATGCAAGTGTAAAGTTGCTCTGCCGTGACTATATTCAACCAAACCATAAGACTCTAAAATTACTCTATTGTGATAGGAAGCATTGTGCCTAACGTCTAGCAGTTTTTAATGAAACAAGTTAAAAATAAATCTGTACTCGTGTACTCCATATTAATTTGTTAAAAATAAAAATGACACAATTATTTTCAATTTTATTTTCTATTTTAGAAGAGATATATTAAAAGTTTAAATTGGACTATTAATCTTACACTAATTTTTAATTTAAGCCACATAAAAAGTTAGTACATGGGTTTACCAAAATTACTCTTTTATTCATATTACTCTTTTAGAATCTTTAATTAAAATAATCAACCTTTTTTGAAAAAATATTCACTAAAAAACAAAAGGCCACGTACATGGGTTTACCAAAATTACATAAAAAAGACATTCTTCACCCTTGAACCCTGCATCAGAGGATGACTTAAATTGCCAACACCATAATTAAAGCAACTAATGATGTTTAAGTACGTCTCTAGAAGAACCCAACTAATTAACTGCCAATTTTTGGTTGTTATTTTTCAAGTTTATAAAGTTCCATTCACTTTTAATATTTAAAGAACAATTACTACCATCAAAACTTAAAATTCTAGTGAAAGAATTTTTATATCCCTAAACATATTTAAAATCTTTGACTCGTGTTTTAGGTCTAAATTATCAAAAAAAAACCCTTCAATCATATTGAACCAAATCACGTTCAACAGTAAAGTTACTATATTGTGACCAGAAACATCGTGCACTAAAGTCTAGCCGATTATAAAACCATTTAAGATAAAAATAAATCTTTACTCATGCACTCCATATTAATTTGTTAAAAATAAAAATGACACCATTAATTTTCATTCTATTTTATACTTTAGAAGAGATATATGAAAAGTTTAAATTGAACTATTAATGTTACACTAATTTTTTAAATAAGCCACATAAAAAGTTAGTACTAATAATTTTGGAGTTTGGATAATAACTCATTTCAGAAATTGAATTCATCCATTTTCCTTATTATATTTCCATAATTTCCATGGCATAAACTTTTAATTTTAATTAATGATTTAAAATTATTATTATCACAGTAAAGATATTGAAGACAGAAAATAATTTACCTTTTGTTTAGCCCGATTGGTCCCGGACTGTGACAAAGCGACCAACGGAGGAATAGCTCCTTCGCGAGCTACCATAGTACGGTACGACACGCTATCCTGGCAAATCTGCAGCAGTATCGCCACCGCGATCTCCTTTTGTCTGTGGGACCCAACCTCTATGATCTCCAACAGCACCGGAATCCCACCTTCGTCCACCAGCGCCGTCCTCGCCTCCGCCAGTGACACCAACACGCTCATCACGAACGCCGACTTGTCCACCATGTTTGACCCAAAATCAGCCATCAATTCCACCAACGGCTTCATGATCCCGGCTTGGACGGCCCTGATCTTGTTCTCCTTCGCCGAGCACAGCGTATACAGGGCCGTCGACGCGTCCTTTTTCCCGCGGATATTGCCGTTCTCTAGAAGACTCACCAGTGGTTGAATCGCCCCTGACCGTCCGATTGCGATCTTGTTCTCCTCAATCTGCGATAACCGGAGCAGAGCACACGCGGCGTTCTCTCTCGCCGTTGATGTGCCGACCTTGAGAGCTCTGACCAGTGGTTTGATCGCTCCCGATGAAGCTATCAGCTCCTTGTTCTCGTCGCAGAGAGATAGGTTTAGAATTGCGGTGACGCCGTATTCTTGAAGCTGAGGATCGGACGACGAGATCAGCGAAATCAACGGCTTGATCGCGCCGGCTTGAGCGATCCTGATTCGGTTCTCCGACTTGTTCTTGGCGAGGAGCCTGATCTCCATCGCCGCTTGCTTTTGATCCTCGATTGAGCTCGCCTCGAGGGCGGAGACGAGTTCCCGGATCAGGTCGTCGGAATTCTCCGTAGCGCAGGCGACCAGGAGTCGCCGGCTCTGAGACGACGCCGTTGAGAACTCGCCGGATCGGTCGCTGTTGCAGTCACTGAAAGCTGCCGAATCGTCGTTGATGCTCAGATCGTTCAAGCTCCGTCCCATGTATGTGTAATTCGACTGAACCTCCTTTTCCATTTCCGTCAAAACTATCACTCACTCACTCACTGCATCAACAATCAACAATTTGTCGGCGTTTAATCGGAATTGTTGGGTATCTCCGGGAAGGGGTAATGGGGAACTGAAAACGACCTCGTTTGGATGCTTTGCTTCGAAGATGGGCTTTATGGCGGACTTAAATCGAAGATATAAGAGAGGGAGAGAACACCTGGATTAGGCGTTGGAGCTTGGGCAGACACGTGGTTGACCATATCGAATCCCAGTCGGATAGAGCACGTGCGAAGAGTTTCTCTTTAAACGCGTGCATGAAGGTTCGTTATTCGATAAAAGGGTCTTCCATTATTTTTGCTTCGCTCTTTCAGTAGAAGCTGCTGCGACCTTTTTCTTTTTTGCTCTTTTTTTACTTCTATTTATTTTTTTAAATGATTTTGTAGTCGAAAATTTCTTTTTTGCTCTTTTTTTACTTCTATTTATTTTTTTAAATGATTTTGTAGTCGAAAACTAAGTTACACAATTTTTCTTAATAGGGACTCTTACGCTCTCTAACTCAAATTCTCTTACTTATAACTTAATTCTGTTACTTGTACACTCCGACTCTTCCCTCCTATCCCCGCTTTTTGTAATTTAGGTAGAGAATTATAAGGGAGTGATTTATCTCTTAATTAATTAATAGTTTTAGTAAAAATAATTTGAATATATTATTTATTAGAATTATCGGCAGTACTCATTAAAGATGTGAATGTCTAAAAAATGTTACATTAAACTAAACATATAAAATTTTAAACTCGAGAACTAAATAAGTAATTTGCAATTCAGTTACACAAATTAACCATAAACACTTGATTGGATTGCCTTTCTATGGTGTGAATTTCAGAGGATGTCAAATTTTCAGTAATAGTAGGTGGAGTCTCAGATTGTAAATCCTCGGTCTCATACTGTTCAAAAAGTTCATCCGTGACGATAGTTTTTCGAAGGTAATTGTGAATAGCTGCACACTCAATAACAATATTCCTCCGCACTTTAAATGTATAAGGTGCCATCCTTTTCAACATTGAAAAACGGGCTTTTTATACTCCAAATGCTCACTCAATCACATATATTTTAATATAATAAAATAAAAAATTATAAAATAAAAGAACCTGATTAAAAGTTAAGGTTAGAATTTGATTCTATGTTCTTAAGACAGATTCGCGCCGCTATGGTGTTAACGAACTCAATGACGTCTATCTCCCATGATACAACGACTTGTCTTCCTTTGGTAGTAACACTACAAACCGAATGAATTGGCGAACCGGCTCGGTGTAGTACTCTCTGACTTGAACTCACTGACTAGGGCTCGAACGCACAGACTAGGGCTCGAACCCAGAGATGATTATATAAGAAGAGAGAATGAGGAGAGAATTCAGAATTAGAGAAGAGAATTATGAATTGGTGTGATTTGGAAATGAACCCAAGGGTGGTATTTATAGGCTATAAAGTGCCTTTTCGGATGGGTGCAACCATAAGTCACAATGGTTCAGAACCAGGTGGACCCTTTGGGAAAAAACTAAAAAATTATTTTTCTAATCCATTTATGAAACCCATCTGAAGCCCAGCCAAAATTAAAACACAAGCCCAATTTCGGCCATCTGAATAAGCCTAACATTAGATTACAAATAAAATCTAACGCATGCCTAAATTCTAAATTAGGTTTAATAAAAAATTAATCAAATTTTACAATCAAGCCCAGCCCCAGCCCGAACTGGTTCGGGCGGGGCGGGCGCGTGTGTGGTAGATGGTTTGGACCCGAGCTTGCCTAGGTCCTTCCCCTCTTAAAAACTTGGGTGCTCTTGGGCCCAAACACAAATCTCATACTTGGCATATTTAAACTCAAAATGGTTTCAGCATTTTTTCCATGTGAGACAAGCATTTCTCACATATTGCATACCCATTTAGGCTTATCAGACACCTCAATTTTGAGTTAATTTCTCATTCATCCAGAAACAAATTTGAGAAAGTAAATATACCACGTTCATCTACTTGCAGAGAGGAACGTGTTCGTCTATAGATTCGCAAAAAATTCTTAGCGGAATCTATTTCAAATTTCATCCAAAGTTTCGGTTTTGTATGCCCCGTTTCTAACACAGACACAGACACACACACATATATATATAGACGCCCAACTTCTTTACTTCCGAATTTCTAACTCCACCAGTTGCTCCTCGATCTCACTATTTGTGCTGGGCTTGCAATTAAGGCGATGGAGTGTAGATTATATATATATATATATATATATATATATATGATATACTTGGATACAGATGTATACATACACACTAAATAAATATGAGAATTTGACGCCGTTATCTAATTAATGAGAGAGCTATGGGGGAATGGGTAGGTTAGATTAATGAATGGAGTAAAAAAAAATCATTTTAGATTGTTGATATTTTGAAATAAAAAGTATTAAAAAATTAGGGGCAAATTTATCTTTTCGTACATTTTTAACGGTGTTATTGACAGAAAAGTCATTTTGGACTTAGGTGATAGTAATTTTCGAAAATTATTTCAATAGGATATTTGTCCAAATTTAAAGGGGTATCACTAAAATTAACCCTATATATTAATGTAATTGATATATATATATATATCGCGCGTGTGAGTGTGTGTACACACACTCATACCACCCCCAAAGACATGCATGTGAATAAAAATAATCCTATAATTCGGGCATATGATTACTGAATCTCAACAAATCAATTTCTTTACACCAAATTTTGTACATACATTGCCTGCTTCAGTTCACAGTTGATAATCTTTGCATATAATTACTTCTAATTTATTGATATAAAGCAAAAGAGAGATACCAAGATATTTATACATGAAATTCATTTACAAATCAGAATTTCATTAACAGATCAGACACATATATTCATAGAGATCTTAAAAGTTCTTATCACATATTTAATTAAAAACAAAAGATTGCATACAGTACATGTCCTAATCTTAAATAATAAGAGATTCATAACTATAGTTCATTTAAGCATGTTATACTAATTTATCAACAATTTAATAGCAGAGTCCCGAGAATATATATAAGTATATATAACAAGATTAACTTACCTGATATCGTTAATTCTTTTTTTTTTATACGAATTTTCGATCGCTGTCCCTTCTCTCCGTTACTATAGAAAGGCACAACGTCAGGTCTCCTTCTATCACGATACGTCATGCTATTAGTTTTTATAAAAAAAAATAACGCAGTGATAGAGTTATAGAGAAGGAGGGAGTCTATCTCACCGGTGAGATAATTTAGCAATTTTTATTTTAAATTTAAATTAATTATAAACTAAAAGTATCTCATTAACTATAATATAAAAAAATATTAATATTTATATATATATATATATATATATATATATATATATATATATAGATATATATTTACACGGATATTACACGATGTGCATGGCGGTATTGAAATCCGAGTCAACAGAGCAAGTGCAAGTGGCAAGGGTCACCTTAAACGCGTGCATAGAAGGTTGGTTGTTCAATAAAGTTTGTTTCATTTTTTTCCCCCACTTTTCTTAGTAGGAAAGGTACGGCCTGCTTATCAAACAAATTTCGCATCGAAGAACCATTCTACTACTGTACTACATAAAACGAATGTTGTATAAAATCTTGTACTATCAAAGGTCCAATTTTCAACTCATCAACACATCGTAATATACATACATATGTTATATCCGTGAGGTTGAAAGCAACGAACTTTAATTTTAGAGTGTTGATTCAATATTTTAAATCGTAACATAGTGACAAATTTATTTATTTATTTATTTATTTATTTATTTATTTATTATTATTTTTTTGTGTTGTTTAAGATTAATCAATTAATGCGAAAACAAATAGAATTCTATAACGGGTATGATGTTACAACTGGCTCTCTTCGTTTGAGATCAGATGGCAACTGTAGCAAGAAGTTGGTAAACTAACAACTGCGTCTCTCTTTTTCAAATTCTATTTCTTTCTTTGGGCCACAATATGCAACTCACAGTTTTCTGTATAGTCCCGTTCACACACAGACCATAAAGACTACTGTAAACGCGTATATAAATTCCACAAATAAAATTAAAATCTATTTTAATAAATATTCAAAATAATCAACCAGGTTTAAAATGATTATTTATCGTACTCTAAATTATTTTTCATCTAAAAATTCAGTTAAAATGATTGAAAAAGATTTCAGTGGATCATCATCAATTTTTGATCTACCCAAGTGTCCACTTCAGATGGAACATTTCACGTGGATTAAAAAAGTTGGTACATGTTTATCACCCTTTAAATGTTGCTATTTGGCTATGAGCAATGATTTAATAGTATATTTATATTGAAATTGAAGATCACCCACACAAATGAACACAAAATTTAGGTCTCGAGTCAACCCTACACGATACTTTTAACATTGATCTCTGCCTAACCTAGAATCAATTCATGTCACATCTCATTTCAAAATTAATAATTTCACTAATTATGTTAAGGTTGAAGAAACCCACTACAAGAAGTTTCAAAAATAAATAAATAAATAAATAAAATAACGCAATAAAGCATATTGGTATTTAATATTTAAAGTGAAGTCAAAATATTTACGTTGGAACGTGGCAGTTGAGTATTTATGTCCAATGGCTTCCAAAACAATCCGGGGTAATCCTTTATTTATTATCCTATCACTTTCAGCCGTAGATTTAAATTAATGCCATATAATTGGAATGAATGTGCCAACTTACCAACTCAATTTAACTATAGGTTTCATCCAGTTAAAACATTTTTAAAGATTTTTTTCGATATTCTGTGTACAGGCTCATCACAACATTATGTGTTGTGTATATACAATTCGAATAAATTAACATATCAAATATCAATATAGTTAGGTCTAATAATTTGATCCAATTATAATTTTCAGATTCATTAAAATAGGTCTTTAGTAACATCTACTTTAAGAGATTTGATAGCCAATAGCAATTAATTAGATCAGACTATTTAGCTTGAGAAATAGGCTTAAGTATCAACAGTACTATAGTCAGATAGACAAAAGAAATATTGACGAATGGCAATGACATAAAAAAAAAAAAATTGTTGATCGGACTAGGCATTGACAATGCTTAACTACCGACTTGATAAAGGAGATATTAAGAGTTCAAGTCCGGACTTCTCGAAGAT